CTGGGGGCGGAGCCGGGGCCCCGTGGAGTGTCCTCCTTTTGGAGGCTTAAAATATGGTAAACCTAGACAACAGGCCCCCTTACATTTGGAATCTGAAATCTGGTTTCCCAGCTCACTGGGGGTAAATCCACTGGCTTTAGAGATGAGCTGGCCCCAGATGGTAACAGCAGCACCTGGACTCAGCTCTCGCACACCCGACTGTAACTTCCTTGGGGTTACTCCTCATCACACTACACTGAGTGAGAGGTGAATTGGCCTCACTGAGGGGCCAGCAGAGCTGTGTGTGGGGTTGCCCATGGCTGGGGTCTACAGGTCAGGCCTGAGGGGCACTGGCAGAGCAGAGTATGGGTTATTGAGAGCTTTAGCCATTGCTGTTAGCTCTTTTCCATCACTAATACACACAAAAGCCGCTGCAAGACCCACTAGAGTTGCCGACTTGGTGACCCCTCTCTGTCCTTCTCCCCTCAGGCCCCGGCATGGCTGCCCCCATGGGCCGGGAGTTCATCACGGCTTTCATGGAGAATTACCAGATCAGCTACTCCCAGGCTGACTTCCAGCTCTTTGTCTCTGGCTACTCGCCCTCCACCACCGTCACCGTCGAGGTGCGTAAGTCCCAGTTCCGCCACACCTTCCAGCTTGGCCAGGGCCAGACGGTCTCAGTGAAGATCCCGGCCAGCGCTGAGATGTCCGGCACCACCAAGTTCTGCAGCACCGTCCTGGTGCAGGCGGACAAGGATGTCTCAGTGATGTCGCTCAATGCCAAAGAGCTGACGGTTGACACTGGTGTGGTGTACCCGGTCCAGAGCCTGGGTGTAGAGTACTACATCCTCACGCCAGCTGGAGATGTCTCTGGGACCTACAAAGAGTTCTCTGTCATGGCATGGCGGGAGCCCACCACCGTGGAAATCCACCTGAAGGGCAGTGTGAGGTTCCAAGAGCAGGTCTACCGGGCCGGCAGCAAGATCACCATCTCCCTTGCGCCCTACGAGGCTGTCCAATTCCAGAGCAGCCAGGACCTGTCTGGCACCCGGGTGGTGTCCCTGAAGCCGGTGGCAGTGCAGAGCGGGCACAGCTGTGCCCAGAAGAACACCAAGTGCAACCATGTGGCCGAGCAGCTGTTGCCCGTCTCCAAGTGGGGTACGGCTTTCTTCGTGCCACCGATGCCCTTCCAGGCCAGCTACGACCTGGTATACGTGGTCGCCTCCCAAGCCACGCAGCTCACCTACCTCTCTGGTGGGGCCCAGGGGAGACAGGGTCTGGTGTCTGGGCAGGTCCTGCAGTTGGAGGTGAGTCTGGCCAAACCACTGTACATCTCCGCCAGTGCCGGCATTCAAGTCTTCTTCTTCTGCACCGGCGGGACCCAGGACATCATGCGTTACGACCCCTTCTTGGTCAGCATCCCGGATGTCTCCAGCTACTGTGCCTCCTACTCCATCGCTGGCCAGCAGGGCTTCCAAAACTATGCCATCATTGTGGCCAAGACTGCATCGGCCGCCGGCATCACCATGGATCAGCGACTCCTGAGCGGGGTGCGCTGGAAATCGATTCCTGGCACGGAGTATTCCTGGGGAGAGTTCAACCTGGGCAGCGGGGCCAGTGCCCGCTCGGTGGAGCATCCCAGTGCCACCTTTGGGCTGCTGAGCGTCGGCATCGCTCAGCAGAACGGCTATGGCGTGGCCGCCCTTTGCCAGAGTGGTGAGTATCTGAGGGAAAAGGGGGCTATGGGGGTGTATCTGGGTGCTTGTCCTGTTGTAATTGTGAAATCTTAGGGTGGTGAGCAGTGTGAATAGCCCCTACGGGGGTCCCCATGCATGGATGGGCGTGGGGGTGTCTCTAGGGCAGGGGTGCTTGCACAGGGAGCCTGGCATGATCCTGCTATGGTCACCCCAACGAACATTCACAGCAAAATCCATCCATCCATCCATCTCCAATCAATCCCACCAACCATTCTTTCCTTCCACCCATCCCTCCATACTTCACCATATTATAATGCCCTATCTGCTCTAAGCCACCAGGTCAACCCACTGGACCCTAAGGGTTGACCTGGTGGCCAGTTTGCTTCCTGTTATAATGTCCTGTCTATCTCTCTGCTCGCCCTTTCCTTCCCATCCTGTCCCCAGAATCCCCGGTGCCCTCCTGCAGCTCCGTGCAGTGCCGGAAGAAGGAGACCTGCCAGATGACCAATGGCAGACCCGGGTGTGTGGCCACCTCTGTGGCAACTTGCTGGGCGCTTGGTGATCCCCACTATCGCACCTTCGATGGGCGCAACTATGACTTCATGGGCACCTGCACCTACACTCTGGCCAAGACCTTCAGCTCAGATTCAGCTCTCCCAGCTTTCCACGTCACGGCTAAGAACGAGAACCGGGGCAACCAGAGAGTTGCCTACGTGGGCTTTGTGACCGTGCAGGTCTACGGCTACACCATCTCTGTGGTTAGAAATGAATACGGGCTTGTGAGGGTAAGAGTGTACCCATCCCCTTTCTTAGCTATCCATCGAACTTTTCTTTGCTTTTCCCTGTTCATTTCTTTATTTTTCTTCCTTCATTTCTTTCTCCCTTCTTTTCTTTCTTAATTTTTCTTTTTTCTTCCTTCATGTTTCTTTCTCCTTTTTTTCTTTCTTCATTTTTTCTTTTCTTTTCTTTTCTTTTCTTTTCTTTTCTTTTCTTTTCTTTTCTAAAATAAAAAAATAATTTCAGGTCAAAACAAAAATAAATTAGAAATTTTTCACAAATTGAAAAGTTGACTTTTTTGTTTTGGGTTAAACAAAAGTTTCATTTTGATTTCAACATATTACATTTTAAAAAATTAAAGGAACTTTTGAATTGAGAAGTTGTCTCGAATTGAAAGACCAAAACCTTTAGATTTTTTCCAGAATTTTTTTTTGAGGATTTTTCTTTTTCACTGAATTGTTTTGGTGTCACCAAATCTGCTTTTTTTTGGGCTGAAAAACTATTTCAGTTGAAAATTTCCCCCGGCTCTATTGCCAAGCAGGGCTGGGGGTCCACCTATCAGGGTCCCACCTCTAGCAGCAGCAGATGTTTCAGGGGAAGGTGCAGGGAACCTGAGGGAGGTGGTGGCAGAGTTACCTGCCCTGGGAAATATCTCTTGTAAACACCAGGTGGCTCAAGGTGAAGTGGGTTCTCTTGACTTGGCCTGGGTGGGCTTTGGACTTGCCTGGTTTTTTAGGGAGAGGTTGCTGGGAATAGGACATAGGCTGAAAGGTTTGCCTGAACCGATGACCATTGCTTGTGGTTGCCCTCCCAGGTGAATGCCCAGCACTCCCGCCTTCCTATCTCCCTGATGGAGGGGAAACTGAGGGTGTATCAGAGTGGGGGCTCTGTGGTCATCGAGACTGACTTCTCCCTGAGGGTCTCCTATGACTGGGGCAGCTCCCTGGTTGTGAAGATCTCCAGCAGCTTCTGGGAGAGTGTGCGTGGCCTGTGCGGCAACTACAACGGGGAACCTGGGGATGACTTTGCCACCCCCACGGGGGCACTGGCTGCCAATCCCGTGGAGTTCGGGAAGAGCTGGAAGGTGGAGGACGGGGACAGGTTCTGCTGGGACGACTGCCATGGGGTGTGCAAGAGCTGCTCCCCAGAGCTGGTCGGCAGGTACAAAGCTGAACCCTTCTGTGGCTGGATCACCAAAGGGGCGGGTGGCCCCTTCAGCCGATGCCACTCCGTGATCGACCCCAAAATCTACCTGGACAACTGCGTCTATGATCTGTGCATGAACGACGGCCTCAAGGAGATGCTGTGCCAGGCGCTGACGGCCTACGCTGATGCCTGCCGGAGAGAGGGGGTGGATATCTCTGAGTGGAGAAGTCTCACAGGCTGCAGTGAGTGGGGTTAACCCCTGGTTTGATCATGGCAGCTAGTGCCAAAGAAATTCAGAGCACTGGCTGCTCAGGGGATGGGGCATGGAGTCTTTCCCCTCCAGGGGGCAGTGGCTCCCATCTGGCCGCAGGGGGGAGACTGGCTGGCTCTGGGGGGGCTTGGAATGGGGCATGTGGCCTTTCCCCTATAGGGGGCGCCGTTGGGAGATGGGCTGTTTTAGGGAGGTGGAAACATGCTGGCCCGGTTCTGGCGAGGAATTTGTGGCAGATCCTTGTTACACATTTGCCTGTAACAAGGGGCTGGAGAGAACGGATCCATTTACTAGCGCACCCGGTTTGGGGAGGAGACCTGGAAGCCGCGTCTGTCGCCCCTCAGAGCTGCAACAGTGGTTCTCAACCTATTTACCATGGTGGGCTGCATAACCATGTGTTATATGTGGGCCATAGGTGCCGACTTCTAATGGCGCTGGTGGGTGCTCGATCCCCCTCTGCCCCCGGCCCCACCCCAACTCCACCCCTGCCGCACCCCCTCCCGCCCCCATTCCAACCCCTTCCCCAAAGTTCCCGCTCCAACTCTGCCCCCTCCCTGCCTCTATTCTGACTCCTTTCCCAAATCCCCGCCCCAGGCCCCGCCCCTTCCCCACCTCCTCCCCTGAGCACGCCACGTTCCCGCTCCTCCCCCTTCCTCCCGGAGTTTACTACAGCTGTTTGGTGGCGGCAAGCGCTGGGAGGCAGATGGAGGAGCAGGGACGCGGCGCGCTCACGGGAGGAGGCAGAGGAGGATGTGAGGTGAGGCTGGGCTGGGCAGGGAGCTTGGCTGCCAGTGGGTGCAAAGCACCCACTAATTTTTCTCCACGGAGTTGGTGCCTATGATATGGGCTGCATCTAATACGACCTGTATGGCCCTGAGGGTGTCACATGGGCCGCAGCTGTGTGCTGATTGGGCTGCAGGTTGAGAACCACTGCGCGCCATGGTATCACAACGTTGCCCTTAATAAATAAGGCAACAACTCCCACCCCCTCCAGTGGTACTGACACCAGGATGTGCTTATGGGGCTCTGCTTCCAGGCAATGGGGGATAGGCTTGGAAGATGGTTAATTTGGGGGGCAGAGGAGGCAGCAGGGAGGAGACTAGGGAGCAGGCAGATATGGGAGGCAGGAGGGAAAGGAAAAGGGTCTGGGCGACAGAGGAATGTGGGGGGAATAATATGGGGGACAAGGAGAGTTTGGGGGGGACAGAGTGTGGTGGGGAGAAATGTGGGAGAGCAGATGAGTGGAAAGCTGGATGTTTGGGGTCCAGAAGGGTCTGAGGTTAGGGGGCAGGAAGGAAAAGATGGGGCAGAAAGGGGGGCAGCAGGGACACACAGTGTCCATACCCTCCAGCAGGGGGCAGTGTACACACACACACACAGCAGGACCCATCCCCTCCAACAGAGGGCAGTGTTCTCTCTCTCTCTCTCTCTCTCTCTCTCTTAACCTGAGACTGTTTTGCAATGCACCCTCCCACACCTCCCTCAGGACAGGGCTGTTTTCTCAGGACTCTGGCCTTTGCCGCGTTGCAGATAACTCCTAACAACAGTTGGTGGTGGTGGTGTGGAGCTGCAGGTAACAGAAGCTGGAAACAACCAACGCCCGTCTGACACAGGATATTTATTTAATTTAACCTACAAAAGTTTTATGAGTTTTGACCAATCTCTCCATTTTTCAGTGGGCTGGCAGGGGGATTATTTTAAGTGTCATGCTTGGCCTCTGGTGCTTGAGCTAAAGGAGAGCTCCCTCAGTGGGCAGCAATAGTAGAGCTCTTATCCTGTCTCTGAGGCTGATGCAAGAAGCTGGTGGTTCAAGCTGCAGCATGTGTTGAATGCAGCAATATTCCCAGTGACCCATGTCCCATCCCTTTGACAGCTCTGCCCTGCCCGGAGAACAGCCGGTACCAGCTCTGTGGCTCCGCGTGTCCTGCCACCTGCAACGACCGAGCAGCCCCTAGCAACTGCTCCTTGCCCTGCGTGGAGACCTGCCAGTGCAACGAGGGCTTCGTGCTGGATGCTGGGAAATGCATCCCCAAGGCTGGCTGCGGGTGCGAGTTTGAGGGCCGCCTCTACGCCCCTGGAGAGCAATTCTGGGGGGACGGTGCCTGCATGAGACGCTGCATCTGCAACCCACAAAGCAGGCAGGCGAGCTGCCAGGTTGCGGGGTGCAGGACTGGGGAGCAGTGCCGGGTGGAGAAAGGCATCCAGAACTGCTACCCTATCAGCTACGCCAGCTGTGCGACCAGCGGGTATTCCCACTACCGCAGCTTTGATGGGCAGAGGTTCGAGTTCCAGGGCACCTGCCAGTACCAACTTGCCGGGTTGAGCAAGAAGAGCCAGGAGCTGGTGGATTTCCGGGTCCTGGTGCAGAACGCCCGTCGGGGTGGCCGATCGGTGTCCTTCAGCAAAGTAGTGCAGGTCCATGTCTACGGAGTGGAGACCACCATCAGCTGGGCCTATCGAGGCAAGATCATGGTGAGTCTGTGAGCCTGGACTGGGGAGACACCAACCAGTCAAGGGCAAGGGCTGGCTCCCCAGCTGGTCTGATTCTACGTCATCCTGAGTTTCCACACTTCCTGTCCTAAACTCTCTGTCCAGTAGTAGCCTCCACCCGGCCCTATCAGAGAAGTCCAAAGCACAGACGTCGACACAACCCCTTCCTGAGGCTGGGAAGTCCCCATTTCACAGCTGGGGAAACTGAGGCATTGACAGATTAAGGAACTGTCACACAATCACCCAGCAAGTCTGGACTAGAACCTATCATTACACCGCCACTGTAACCAGTAGACCCCACTCACCTCAAAGATGGGAACAGAACTCAAGAGTCCTAGTTCCCAGCACCCCCTGCTCTAACCCACTAGACTCCACTACCCTCCCAGAGTCAGGGAGAGAACCCAGGAGTCCTGGCTCCCAGCCCCCCCCGTTCTAACCACTAGACCCCACTGCCCTCCCAGAGCTGGGGAGAGAACCCAGAGCTCCCAATACTGTGCCTTAACCTAGAGACCATCTGTCCTCCTCAGTAACTTGTGGTCTGTGAATCAGCTGCCCTACCCCAGATGTGGCTGCATCTCAGAGCCGGGCGAGCCATCCCTATGTGGCATTATGTGTGGCTGTTCCCCAGCTGCCCCACCTTAGAGGCAACTGCATTTCTGCACTGGGGCTCAGTGAAAGCTGCACAGTCTTGTATCAAGGTGTCTATTTATCCCTAGGTGAATGGTGTTTTGACCAATCTGCCATACCAAATAGGCACAGGGAAGATCTCCATGTACCAGAGAGGCTGGGATGCCGTGATCCAGACAGATTTTGGCCTCACTGTCACCTTTGACTGGCACAGCCGGGCCACCGTCACCGTGCCCAGCACCTACGCTGGTGCCCTGGGTGGTCTGTGCGGCAACTTCAATGGGGACAGGAGTGACGAGCCGGCTGGGAAGGACAGCGCGGGTGCCGGACGCAGCTGGAGGGTGGCCGAGCCCCTGGGCTGCGGCGAAGTCGACGTGGGGGCCTGTCCCGACCTGGAAGCCCTCGCCAGTCGCCAGCGGGGCATCAACACCGAGTGTGGGATCATCCTGGAGAAAACTGGCCCCTTCAGGGAGTGCCACAACAAAATTGACCCCGAGGGTTTCTTCCTCGACTGCGTGTCCGACTACTGTGCATCCAAGGGGCAGTTGGCTGTGCTAGGGCAGGTGGTCGCCGGCTACGCCTCAGCCTGCCAGGCCGCTGGGCTGACTGTATATCCATGGAGATACCACGTCTTCTGGAGTGAGTGTCCGCTGGGCAGGGTTCCTGAGCCGGGCTACCGCACAGGGCAGGCTGGCCGGCATGAGGTGCCCACCTGGTCTCCAATGCATGACCCTATGCCTTGCTTTATCCCTGATGAGGGAGAATATTTATAAACCTAGATAAGTCCAACCAGATCCCAGCTTGGGTCAATCAGCCGTAGCCCCATTGGAGTCAATGGGGCTGGATCCCAGCTGGTGTGAATCTGCACCATTGCATTCAAACCAATTGTGTTACGCCGACAAACAGCAACTGAGGTTTTGCTCTGTTTTTATCCCCTGAGCTGGCTGAGAGAATGGGCCTTTCCCCTCTAGGGGGCGCTGTGTCCAATCCTGCCCCAGGGTGGGGAGCTGGCTGGCTCAGGGTGGGCAGGGAATGAGGCATGGGGCCTTTCCCCTCCAGGAGGTGCTGGCTCCCATCCAGCCCCAAGGCAGGGACTGGCTGGCTCAAGGGGTGGGGATGGGGGGCGAGGAATGGGGCCTTTCTCTAGGTTTTAGTCAGGAGGAGAGGATGGAAGAGGATAAAGTAGGGACCAGATCAGATGAGAAACATTCACATAAAAAAGAATCTGACACATCAGAAAAGGGCGGACAAATAAACGGTGACAAGTTTTAAAGTGCTTGTACACAAATGCTAGAAGTCTAAATAATAAGATGGGTGAACTAGAGTGCCTCGTGTTAAAGGAGGATATTGATATAATAGGCATCACAGAAACCTGGTGGAGTGAGGACAATCAATGGGAAACAATCATTACGGGGTACAAAATATATCGGAAGGACAGAACAGGTCATGCGGGGGGTCATGTGACACTATATGTGAAAGAAAATGTAGAATCAAATGAAGTAAAAATCTTAAATGAATCCACATGTTCCATAGAATCTCTATGGATAGTATTTCCATGCTCTAATAAGAATATAACATTAGGGATCTATTATCGACCACCTGACCAGGACAGTGATAGTGATGATGAAATGCTAAGGGAGATTAGAGAGGCTATCAAAATAAAGAACTCAGTAATAGTGGGGGATTTCAATTATCCCCATATTGACTGGGTACATGTCACCTCAGGATGAAATGCAGAGACAAAATTTCTCGATACTTTAAATGACTGCTTCTTGGAGCAGCTGGTACGGGAATCCACAAGGGGAGAGGCAATTCTTGATTTAGTCCTGAGTGGAGCGCAGGATCTGGTCCAAGAGGTAACTATAACAGGACCGCTTGGAAATAGTGTCCATAATATAATAACATTTAACATTCCTGTGGCGGGAAGAACATCTCAACAGCCCAACACTGTGGCATTTAATTTCAGAAAGGGGAACTATGCAAAAATGAGGAGGTTAGTTAAACAGATATTAAAAGGTACAGTGACTAGAGTGAAATCCATGCAAGCTGCATGGACACTTTTCAAAGACATCATAAGAAAGGCCCAACTTAAATGTATACCCCAAATTAAAAAACACAGTAAAAGAACTAAAAAAGAGCCACCCTGGCTTAACAACCATGTAAAAGAAGCAGTGAGAGATAAAAAGGCATCTTTTAAAAAGTGGAAGTCAAATCCTAGAGAGGTAAATAGAAAGGACAATAAACACTACCAAATTAAGTGTAAAAATGTAATAAGAAAAGCCAAAAAGGAGTTTGAAGAACAGCTAGCCAAAAGCTCAAAAGGTAATAACAAAATGTTTTTTAAGTACATCAGAAGCAGGAAGCCTGCTAAACAACCAGTGGGGCCCCTTGATGATCGAGATACAAAAGGAGCACTTAAAGACGATAAAGTCATTGCAGAGAAACTAAATGAATTCTTTGCTTCAGTCTTCACGGCTGAGGATGTTAGGGAGATTCCCAAACCTGAGCCATTCTTTGTAAGTGACAAACCTGAGATTGAAGTGTCACTAGAGGAAGTTTTGGAATTAATTGATAAACTTAACAGTAACAAGTCACTGGGACCAGATGGCATTCACCCAAGAGTTCTGAAAGAACTCAAATGTGAAATTGTGGAACTGTTAACTAAGGTTTGTAACCTGTCCTTTAAATCAGCTTCTGTACCCAATGACTGGAAGCTAGCTAATGTAACGCCAATATTTAAAAAGAGCTCTAGAGGTAATCCCGGCAATTACAGAGTGGTAAGTCTAACGTCAGTACCGGGCATATTAGTTGAAAGAATAATAAAGAATAAAATTGTCAGACACATAGAAGAACATAAATTGTTGGGCAAAAGTCAACATGGTTTCTGTAAAGCGAAATCATGTGTTACTAATCTATTAGAGTTCTTTGAAGGGGTCAATAAACATGTGGACAAGGGGGATCCAGTGGACATAGTGTACTTAGATTTCCAGAAAGCCTTTGACAAGGTCCCTCACCAAAGGCTCTTACGTAAATTAAGTTGTCATGGGATAAGAGGGAAGATCCTTTCATGGATTGAGAACTGGTTAAAAGACAGGGAACAAAGGGTAGGAATAAATGGTAAATTTTCAGAATGGAGAGGGGTAACTAGTGGTGCTCCCCAAGGGTCAGTCCTAGGACCAATCCTATTCAACTTATTCATAAATGAGCTGGAGAAAGGGGTAAACAGTAAGGTGGCAAAGTTTGCTCAAGATAGTTAAGACCAAAGCAGACCGTGAAGAACTTCAAAAAGATCTCACAAAACTAAGTGATTGGGCAACAAAATGGCAAATGAAATTTAATGTGGATAAATGTAAAGTAATGCACATTGGAAAAAATAACCCCAACTATACATACAATATGATGGGGGCTAATTTAGTTACAACTAATCAGGAAAGAGATCTTGGAGTCATCGTGTATAGTTCTCTGAAGACGTCCACGCAGTGTGCAGCGGCAGTCAAAAAAGCAAACAGGATGTTAGGAATCATTAAAAAAGGGATAGAGAATAAGATGGGGAATATCTTATTGCCCTTATATAAATCGATGGTACGCCCACATCTTGAATATTGCATACAGATGTGGTCTCTTCATCTCAAAAAAGATATACTGGCCTTAGAAAAGGTTCAGAGAAGGGCAACTAAAATGATTAGGGGTTTGGAACGGGTCCCATATGAGGAGAGATTACAGAGGCTAGGACTTTTCAGCTTGGAAAAGAGGAGACTAAGGCGGGATATGATAGAGGTACATAAAATCATGAGTGGTGTGGAGAAAGTGAATAAGGAAAAGTTATTTACTTGTTCCCATATCATCAGAACTAGGGGCCACCAAATGAAATTAATGGGCAGCAGGTTTAAAACAAATAAAAGGAAGTTCTTCTTCACACAGCGCAGAGTCAATCCGTGGAACTCCTTGCCTGAGGAGGTTGTGAAGGCTAGGACTATAACAGGGTTTAAAAGAGAACTGGATAAATTCATGGAGGTTAAGTCCATTAATGGCTATTAGCCAGGATGGGTAAGGAATGGTGTCCCTAGCCTCTGTGTCAGAGGGTGGAGATGGATGACAGGAGAGAGATCACTTGATCATTACCTGTTAGGTTCACTCCCTCTGGGGCATCTGGCATTGGCCACTGTCAGTAGACAGGATACTGGGCTGGATGGACCTTTGGTCTGACCCAGTACGGCCATTCTTATGTTCTTTCCCCTCCAGGAGGTGCTGGTTCCAATCCAGCCCCAGGGCGGGGACTGGCTGGCTAGGGGGTGGGGAGGGGAGTGGGGAATGGGGCATGGGGCCTTTCCCCTGCAGGGGGTGCCGGCTCCGATCCTGCCCCAGGTTGTTGGGTTGGCTGGCTCAGGGTGGCGGGGAATGCCCCCCCTTCAGGGGGCGCCAGCTGAGATCAGAAGCTGCTGCAATGTCACCTCATTCTGCTCCCATTGCAGAGCCAGCCTGTCCCCGGAACAGCCACTATGAGATCTGCGCCCAGGGCTGCCAGCCGACCTGCAGCAGCCTCTACGCCCCAGTTCAGTGTTCAGCCCAGTGCTGGGAGGGCTGCGTCTGTGACGAGGGCTTCGTGCTGAGCGGCGACCGCTGCGTGCCCATGTCCCAGTGCGGCTGCATCCACCAGGGCTTTTACTACCAGGCCGGGGAGACCTTCCACCCGACGTGCCAGGAGCAGTGCGTCTGCCGGGCCGGTGGGGATGTGGCCTGCAAGGGCTTGTCCTGTGGCCCCAACGAGGAGTGCAAGGTGGCGGGCGGCATCCGGAGATGCCACCCTGTGGGATCCGCCACCTGCACCGTCTCCGGCAGCTCCCGCTACATCACCTTCGACGGCACTGCCGCCAACTTCCAGGGTACTTGCACCTATGCCCTGGCCACGACCTGCGCCAACGCTCAGACGCTGACGCCCTTCGCTGTCCACCTGGAGAACAAGCCGTGGGGCACCGGGCAGGTCTCTGTGGCCAAGCTGGTGTCCATCCGCCTCTATGGGACCACCCTTGCCCTGCTGCAGGGCATGAGGGGGCTGATCAGGGTAAGTCTTGCTCATGGGATGGGCCAAGGAGGGGTGGACTCCATAGTGGGGTGGGCAGAACAGCAGGGCTGGTCCCTACATCTCGGAGACAGCAGAGTGCCTGCTGCCTAAGAGGGGTGCCCCCAGCTGAGCTCTGTCCCCCGTCTGCATCTGGGACCGGCCCCTGCAAGGCCGTAGAATTAGACCCCCCTACACGGGTTCAGAGACCTGGGGTTGGGGAAGAGAGGGGTTGATCCTGAGTGACTCTGGAGTCATCCCTCTGAAATCTGTGAGCCGGCTCTGGATTTATCCTGGGGAAGCTGCAATAAGAATCCAGCCTTGACCCTATTGCAGTCAGGGGTGACTCTGGATTTACACCGAATCTGGCCCTGGCTCTGTTGGGATTTACGCGCGTAGAACAGAGTGGATTTCAGCCTGCATGTTTTCCTGTTGCATTAAGCTCAGGCTTGACAAAGCCCTGGCTGGGATGATTTAGTTGGGGATTGGTCCTGCTTTGAGCAGGGGGTTGGACTAGATGACCTCCTGAGGTCCCTTCCAACCCTGATATTCTATGATTCTGTGATCTCTCCCTCGCCCCAGTGTCCGCTCCCCCACTCACAGGGAATGCTTGCTCTCTCTCTCTCCCAGGTGGACGGGGTGTCCCACAACCTGCCTGTGGTCGCGGCTGACGGGCGGCTCTGGGCGTATCAGCACGGCGGGAATGTGCTGGTGCAAACCGACTTCGGCCTCACCGTGAGCTACAACCTCTTGTACAACGTGAGAGTCACCGTCCCGGGGAACTACCAGGGCCAGACGTGCGGCCTGTGCGGGAACTACAACGGGCGTCGGGACGACGAGTTCCTGCTCCCCGATGGCAGGGCGGCCCCTAACGTGGCAGCGTTCGCTTCCGCCTGGAAAATCCCAGTCCCAGGCGTGGCCTGTGCGGACGGATGCGCTGGGAACAGCTGTCCGGTTTGTGAAGAGACCAAAAAGGACATCTTCAAACAGCGCAACTACTGCGGGCTGCTCACGGCCCCCGACGGTCCCTTCACCGCCTGCCACAGCACGGTCAGCCCCAGCACGTATTTCAACAACTGCCTGTATGATCTGTGCCTGGGCAACGGGGACTCCCAGCTCCTGTGCCAGAGCATCCACAGCTATGTGACGGCCTGCCAGGATGCCGGGGCCCCCATCCAGCCCTGGAGAAGCGCCTCCTTCTGCCGTAAGTGCCGCGATGCTGATGGGGTGTGGGGGGCTGTCCCGCTCACCCCCCCTTGATCTGGGGAGCATCAGGTCTGGGCATCTCACAGCTTATCTGTTTCTTCTCACCCAGTCTCTCCTCACCCTCCCACTTTTGCTCCCTTTCCATCCATGCTGGTGCACAGAATAATCTGAGCCACATGTTCCTTAGTCCTAAAGTTATGCACAGAGGGATACAGACTGTGGGTCAGATTCGCAGACTGTGGGGGAGGTGCTGTACCCTGGAAAGCAGCTGCCCATGAGCTGTGGCCAAGAAGGTGAGCATGACCCTGGTCTGGAGAAGCAGGGGATGGTGAGGAGAAGCAGGGAGATGGGGTCCCCTTGAGATACAGCATTGGGGAGTCCACGTTTGGAGACTGTGCCCAGCTCTGGGGTGCCGCACGTCAGACAGGACGTTGGAAATGGGGGAGGGGTCAGAGAAAGGTTACGGGAATGATCTGAGGGCTGGAAAACCTGCCCGAGAGTCAGGGACTGAAGGAGCTCGATCTAGTGTGTTTAACCCAGAGAAGGCTCAGAGGCTAGTCCCGGTCTATCAGCACTTACCTGGAGAGGAGATTTCGGGGAGCGGAGGGCTCGTTAACCCAATAGACAGAGGCAGAGCGAGAGTTGACGGTTGGTGGGTTGGGGGATGAAGTCAGAGAAATCGAGACAGGGAATAAAGAGCAGATTTTCCCCAGGGAGGGGAACTGACCCTGGGAACGGCTGCCCCAGCGACAGGGCAGTTTCCAGGCCTCTGAGGCTTTCTAGGGAGATCTCCCTCTAAAAGCTGTGCTCTAGCTCGACCATCAGATCTGGGCTGGGGCAGACTGGTTGCTCAGGATGGTTCCTGCAAATCTATGGCTCTGTGAATCAATAATTTCTCTCTTTATTTTAGCTCTGAGTTGCCCAGCCAACAGCCACTATGAGGTGTGTGCCGACCTCTGCACTGCGACCTGCGCCGGGATCACCGACTCCACCCCGTGCCTGGAGATCTGCGCCGAAGGCTGCCAGTGCGACGATGGCTTCTTCTTCAATGGCCAGGGCTGCGTGACTGTGGAGAGTTGTGGCTGCTTCGAGGAGGGGAGATACTACAAGGTACTGCCCCCTGCTGGTAGATGAGGATCTGATCCTGTTACTCCGAACTGGGAAAGGCTAGCTCCTCAGTTGGGATGAAGCAGATCTACAGCTCAGGGGCGCGTATGCTGGATCAAAACATTGGTCCCCTGGGCTTGGCATCCAAACCATTGGCCATGCTCTAGAGACAAGCAAAGAACCCTGATGTGCCGCTTGTCGCTACATTCTGTAGTCAGCTCCTTGATCACACGTTGATGTGTTGTGAAAGATACTCAAGAGATCAAATAACCAACCGCAGTTAGCTTTCTCGATAACAGTGAATAGCAGTAGAGCTAGGCTGATGCAGTGTGGGTGTAGCAGCATTTAAGTTGCAGCATTTTTCTTACTTTGCCTAGCTATGAATTTCGACTATTATGGATGGAAATATTTTTGTCCTTGGTTTGTGTGTATGGTGAAAACAATGTTTGTTGACATTTGCCGATACAAATCTAATCCTGCCAAGCCTAAAAAATAGTACAAGAAAAAAGAGTTCAATACAATAGAAATTTCTGGGAAGTTGTCGCATGCCACATTGTTGAATTCCCCCTAGAAAGAAGGTATGTGTCCAAAGTTACTGCTCCTTTTTACACCCATCCTGTTTACAAATAAAAAGCTACTGTAACCATCATCCGGAGGCTAGATGTAACCAATCATCTTTGTATCTTGTTTTTTGGGTACCGTGGTGTACCTCTTATCCCTGTGTTCTGACACATGGGTGTGAAGGCATCTCTTCGGCTTGTACCAGGGTAACACCCCTATCTTAATCCTGACAGTTTTTCTATCAGCTTCAGCCAAAGTCAATGCAGGGCATTATGTGATACTTAGCACAAGTAAACCGGTTTATAGGAAGATGTAGGCCAGTTCGGGCCCTGTAACTGCCAGAAATATGCACACAATATAATGTTATAGTGCTTTGTCTGCTTAATGCATAGTCATAGATTAATCGATTTGTATATTCCAAGGCCAGAAGGGACCACTGTCCAGAGAGCTGCCCCCAGACCATTCCTAGAGCAGATCTGTTAGAAAAAACCATCCAGTCGTGATTTAAAGATTGTCAGACATGGACCTCACCCGTGGGAAATAGTTTCAGTGGTTAATTGCTCTCACCATTAAAAATGGACGCCTTCGTTCCCGTCGGAATTTGTCTAGCTTCAAGTTCCAGCCATTGGATCATGTAAGATTTTTTTCTGCTAGAGCGAAGAGCCCATTATTAACTCGTTGTTTCCTGGGTAGATACTTATAGACTGGGATCAAGTTACTCCTTAACCTTCTCTTTGTTAAAGTAAAGAAACTGAGCTCCTTGAGTCTATCACTAGAAGCCATGTTTTCTAATGTTTTCATCATTCTCCTGGCTGCTCTCTGTCTCCTCTCCAATTTATCAACATCCTTCTTGACCTGCAGTCACCAAAACTGGACACAGGATTCCATCATCGGTTGCACTAGGGCCAGATATAGAGGTCAAAATAATCTCTCTGCTCCTACTTGAGTCTCCTCTGTTTATGCATCTCAGGATCACATTAGCTCTTTTGGCCACGGCTCATGTTTAGCTGATTATCCATCCTGACCCCCACATATTAATGTGCGTGGTGGGAATAATACATATCATTAATGTGATTTTTTAAATATTAGCCCCACATATATTGGTCAACACTATCCCACAGTGCTGGGGTCATCTCCCTGATTGGCCTGTTCCCTGAAAGAGACCGGAACCTCCTGTAACTTGCTCTTTCTTCTTTTTGTCACCAGACAAATTCAAATTGGAAATAAGGCACAGTTGTTTAGCACCGTGGGTGATTAACCAGTGGGACAAACTCCCAAGGGAAGTGCTGGATTCTCCGTCCCTTGGTGTCTTCCAACCCCGTCTGGTTGCCTTTGTGGAAGATGCTTTAGCCAAACACGAGTGATTGGGCTCAACCCGGGAATAACTGGGGGAAGTTCCCTGGCCTGTGTTCTACAGGAGATCAGACGAGATGATCCAGTAGAAATCTAAGCAAGCTCCCACTGCAGGATCCTCTCTCTAACCTCCTGCAGCAGTGGGTTCCACAGGTTGATGAAGCAGAATGTCCTAAATTCTCTGGCCATCAATTTTAGGGGAGTGACCCATGTATTCTCCGGGTCTAAAGGAGGCAATGGATGGTTCCTTCTTAATCATCCAGGCCTCACTTCATGCCTCCACATCTCTGCTTCTTTCTAGCTTAATACACCATGAGTTGTTTCTTACAATTGGGGAAAAAAAGGGGTAACTTTGGGGAAGGGGGTCGAGTGGGTTAGAGGAGGGGGCTAGGAGCCAGGACTCCTGTGTTCTATCCCCAGCTCTGGGAGGAGAGCAGGGTCTAGTGGCTAGAGCAGGGGGGCTGACAGCCAGGATTCTATCCTTAGCTTTGGTTTACCTCCAACAGAAGTTCTCACCAGTGAAACTGAAAACTTGATTTTTCTGCTCTGTGACATGGGATTATTTCCCCTTTTCCAAACAGCCCAACGAGACGGTGCTGGCAAGCGAGTGTCAGCAAAGATGCAGCTGCAGCCCGGCCCGAGGGCTGAGCTGCGAGTCCCACAGCTGTGCCAGTGATGAAACCTGTGAGATCAAAGATGGTGTCATGGGCTGCATCAACAAAGGTAAAGGACAGTGGCTGATGTAAACATGTTGTGAGGGGTTATTGGGGCCAGAGTATATAGATGATTGTCAATGCTACCAGCTAAGAGTGGGGTCTAAGGGTTAGAGCGGGGGGCAGGGCTGGGAGTCAGGACTCCTGGAGTCTATCCCAGCTCTAGGTGGGGAGTTGGGTCTAGTGGTTGGGGTGGGGAGCTGGGAGTCAGGACTCCTGGGTTGTATCCCAGCTCTGGGCAGGGAATGGGGCCTAGTGGGTTAGAGCAGGAATGGAGGCTAGGGGCCAGGACTCCTGGGTTCTTTCCCCAGCTCTGCTACTGCCTTGCAGTTATTTAAAGTCTAGCCCTAACTGCTTTGTTCTACTGAGCTAAGTTCTGCTGAACATTTTGGCTGGACACCTCCTTAGGCTGATGGGGGCGGCTCTGAGCGTACCCCATGCCAGCTCCCCAACCAGCTCTTACCCCTCTGTCCTGCCCTGGCTGGGCTCTCTCCCTTCAGACCCCTGCAAATCCCTGAGATGCCGGACCAAGGAGACATGTAAGGTCGAGAATGGTCGTGCAACGTGTGTCCCTGACTACAAGACGACCTGCTGGGGCTGGGGGGACCCACACTATCACACCTTCGACGGGCTGAACTTCAACTTCCAGGGTACCTGCACCTATACCCTGGCCAAGTACTGCGGGACCGACACCACCCTGGAGCCCTTCACCATCGACGAGAAGAACGATAACAGAGGGGGTAACCAGGTTGTCTCCTACGTGCGCCTGACCAACATCTACGTCTATGGGTACAACATCTCCATCTACAAGAAAGAAGTCGGCAAAGTCCGAGTGAGTCTCCCAGGTCGGGTCGGGCTTCCAGCCAGCCCAAGGGCAACACACCACGCTTCACACCAACACAACACAGCATAGCACAACTGCAACACAACATGCTTCACACCAACACAACACAGCATAGCACAGCTGCAACACACAAAACCTCATGGCAATACAACGCACCTTTGCACAGCGCAACCGTGGCACCAGACAGCACACATAGCATCGCGCCACCACAACACACTTCACAGCAACACAACATATTCTTATACACCTGTACCCCCAACACAACACACAGTGCTGCCACTGTATTGTGTATAGTATCTTCCATAGCACCTACAACACAATATACCACAACAGACAACACTGACACAATATTCTATATAGCATTTTCTGTAGCACTGGTACCCCCAACACACCACAACACCCAGTACTGCAATGGTATTGAATATAGTATCTTCCAATAGACTGGTACCCTCAACACAACACAGCACCACAACATTACCGCTGTATTGTGTATAGCATCTTCTGTAGCACTGGTACCTGCAACACAATACACCACCACTGTATTGTGTAGCATGTTCTGTAGCATCTGTACTCCCAACACAACACACAATGCTGCCACTGTGTGCTATATAGCATCTTCCAATACACCTGTACTTCCAGCACAACACTTAATATATTGCTTATAGCCTCCTCCATAGCATCTGTACCCCCAGCACACAAGGCCGCCACTGTATTGTGTATGGCATCTTCCAATACACCGTCACCCCCAACACACAACGCTACCACTGAACTGTGTATTGCATCCTCCGTAGCACCCGTACCCCCAGCACACAAGGCTGCCACTGTATTGTGTATGGCATAGAATCACAGAAGATTAGGGTTGGAAGAGACCTCAGGAGGTCATTTAGTCCAACCCCCTGCTCAAAGCAGGACCAACCCCAACTAAATCATCCCAGCCAGGGCCTTGTCAAGCTGGGCCTTAAAAACCTCTAAGGATGGAGATCCCACCACCTCCCTAGGTAGCCCATTCCAGTGCTTCATCACCCTCCTAGTGAAATAGTGTTTCCTAATATCCAACCTAGACCTCCCCAGTCTTCCAATACACTGTCATCCCCAATACACCACACTACCACTCTACTGTGTATTGCATCCTCTGTAGCACCCGTACCCCCAGCACACAAGGCCACCATGTATTGTGTATGGCATCTTCCAATACATGTGTACTCCTAACACAACACAACACAACATACAACGCCAACCTATATTGTATAGAGCATCTTCCGGAGCACCCGTACCCTAACGTGCTGCGCCCCACCGCTGCATTGTCATGCACGCCCTTTCCTGTCCCGGGTGTGGATGGCCGCGACCCTAATGCCCCCACCCTTCCCCTTTGCAGCTGAATGACGTCGTCACCAGCCTGCCGCTGACCCTGGCCGACGGCAAGCTGCAGCTTTTCCAGAGCGGCCTGAGCGCCGTGCTGCAGACGGCCTTCGGCCTGGAGGTCTCCTTCGACTGGAACTGGCTGCTGCAGGTGACCCTGCCCAGCAGCTACTATGGCGCCACCTGCGGCTTGTGTGGGAATTACAACCAGGACCCAGCAGACGACATGGCGACGCCAGCCGGTGCCCGGCTCAGCACGGTGGTGGAGTGGGCCGCCAGCTGGAAGGTGAGGGACCGCGACCCGTTCTGCTGGCATGTCTGCCAGGGGAAATGCCCCACCTGCGAGGAGGAGCAGCGGCAGCGCTACCACCGGGACGAGGCCTGCGGGCTGATTGCCAAGGTGGATGGCCCCTACCGCGAATGCCACCGCAAGCTCAGCCCGGACAACTTCTTCGACAGCTGTATCTACGATGTCTGCCTCAACGGGGGTGCCAAGAGCATGCTGTGCCAGGCGCTGGGTGCCTATGCTGCCAGCTGCCGCAAGGAGGGGGTTGTGGTCCGCGATTGGAGGACGCAATCCGGCTGCAGTGAGTGTGGGGTCAGTGGGGAGAGGGTTAGAGCGGGGAGGGTGCGGGGGGGGCTAGGCGCCAGGACTCCTGGGTTCTATCCTGTGGGAGGGAAGTGGGGTCTAGTGGGTTAGAGCAGGGGGGCTAGGAACCAGGATTCCTGGGTTCTATCCCCAGCTCTGGGAAGGGAGTGGGGTCTAGTGGGTCAGAGCAGGGTGGGCTGGGAGTCTGGATTTCTGGGTTCTATCCTCAGCTCTACATCTCCCATGATGCACCAGGGCTATCGACTCCCATGATGCACTGCCCCCCCTTTCCAAAAGTGATGCAGTCCAACACAAAGCTTGGTTTATGGAGGAGAATGAGGCACCTGAACTATGGCCCCCAGGAGGCACTAGGACAGCATTTCTGAATAGAACTTTTTAGATTTCTCTTTCTTTGTTGTCAGCTGAAATTTTCACCCAAAATTGACATTTTCCATGGGGGGAAAACCCTCATTTTTCAATCAGCTCTCAGGTTTCAGGGTATGACTGACTGCAGGGTCAGGAAGGGATTTTACTCCAGTCTGCAGCTAGCTGCTGCGGGTGTGATGCTTGAGTGTGTAGCATCCTCAAAGGGAAGTGGGATACAGAATTGGCTGGACCACGGTCTTATGCATCAGGATAGCTGTTTGATCAGTTTGGCTGTTGTTAATTCTCGCCCAACTCTGATCCCAGCCCTGCCCTGCCCTGAGAACAGCCACTATGAGGCCTGTGGGAACGCCTGCCCTGCCAGCTGCTCTGACCGAACTGCCCCCTCCTCCTGCCGGGAGCCCTGCGTGGAGACCTGCCAGTGTGACAATGGTTACATCCTCAGTGCTGGCCAGTGTGTCCCTGTGGGGAGCTGCGGATGCGACTACAACGGCCGATACTACAAACCTAGTGAGGAGTTCTGGGCCGATGAGAACTGCCGCTCTCGGTGCAGGTGTGACCCCAGCTTGGGCATGGTGGTTTGCCAGGAGACCAGCTGCAAGGCCAGCGAGAGATGCGCCGTGATCAATGGGGTCCGTGGCTGCCACGCAATCAGCTACTCCACGTGCACGGCCTCCGGGGACCACCACTACACCACCTTCACTGGGCGAAGATATGACTTCCAGGGCACGTGCATCTACCAGCTGGCTGGGCTCTGCTCCAAGGACCCCACGCTCACCCCGTTCAACATCACAATCTGGAACAACCGTGGCAGCAGGGCCTTGTCCTTTGCCAAGGTGGTGACCGTGGAGGTGTACGGCAGAACTATCGCTGTCAGCCAGCAGCACCCTCGCAGGATCCAGGTAGGGACGCAACCATGGCCCTCTGAAGAGCGGGGCTCTTGGGGCCAGATCCCCAGTGGGTGGGAATGGGCCATCACTGAAGTGGAGTCAATGGGGCCGGATCCCATCTGGGGTCTATCGGCCATAGCTCCATTGGAGTCAATGGAACCAGATCCCAGCGGGGGTCAATCAGCCATAGCTCTATTGGGGTCAATGGGGCCAGATCCCAGCTGGTGGAAATCCACAGAGGATGTGAGCTCTGATGTCTGTGTAAACCAAGGAGCCCATAGTTAAGCAGGTAGCTGGTATGTTGGAAAATTTCAGTGCCATGTTGTGTGTATGATCCACACTACATAATGGGGGTGGGGGCTCAGTAGGGGGCGCTCTCCCCTCGATGTTAGTGCTCAGCCCAGCTGCCCAGCGCAGAGCTGTGGTGCAGGGAACGGGGAGGAGATTACTGTTACAACGGTCATGGATTCTACTCAGCCGTTCCTTGGTGATTTTCAGGCACAGGTCTCCAGGCTCTGTAGAAAGAATACGTACCATTCCTGTTTAATTAACAGGGAAACTGAGGCATACAGCAGGACAAAGACTTGCCCAAAATTACATAGACAGTCAGTGGAAGAGCTGGGAATAGAGCCCAGGAGTCCTGGCTCCCAGCCCTAACCACTAGACACCACTCCCACCCAGAGCTGTGGATAGAACCCAGGAGTTCTGGCTCCCAGCCCTAACAACTAGACACCACTCCCACCCAAAGCTGTGGATGTGTCATGGACTCACAGGACTCGTGCTCTCTCTCAGCTCCATACGATACCTGGGGGCAACCCCCTTCAGTGCGACAGCCCTTCTTGGGGGGTCAAGCTGTAGGCCCCTCCTCCTCCTGGAACCGCACCTCTCTGAGCCCTCAGCACGTCTCTCGCTGTGGGCCTCTTCAGGGAGTCCACTCGCTCTGGACCCTCAGGGCCTCCACACCCAGAGGGAATAATGCCACCCTGTTCTCTAGACTGGAGCGACTCTCAGCCAGTGTAAAACAGGAGGGTTTATTGAGCATCTGAACCCAGCACAGGAAACTCTCAGGGCCCTCAGGCCTGCCCTCCCTCAGCACAATACATCTAAGTCTCCCCTGCATCCAGGTGGGCTCTGCCTGCTCCCTCTCTCTCCAGTCCAGCAGCCCCCTCCTTCCAGCTGGGCATCCTATATCCCCTCCCCCAACAGTTCCTCCCCTGTCCTTTGTCCTCTGTCCCAGGTAGACAGGTCGCTGGGTCCCTCTCTCTTCCATCCTTTGTTCCCCTCTGGCTGGTTGGGTCACCGGGGTCCTCTCTCCTCAGTCCTTTGTCCTCCCACTGGCCAGAACCAGCTGACTGCCAAGCTGGGATGGGACTCTTAGTCACCAGGTCACCAGTTGTTAGGGTTCCCCATCTCCAGGCCATTGTCTGGGGGTTCCAGCTGCGAGGTCTCCCCTGGTCCTCTGCAACAACAAACCCTCTCCCACCACCTTGTTAAACAGGCAACACAGAGAAACTGAGGCACGCACACACACTATTCATGTAAAACACGACAAAAATCCTCAACTTCATCACAGGATAGAACTCTGGAGTCCTGGGTCCCTGTCCCCTGCCCCCTCCTTGCGGTGTTCATTCAAAATTAAGCCCAGGCTCTGCCATGTCTGTTCCAGGTGGATGGAGTCTTTGTGGACCTGCCTTTCTACCACGAGGAGACGCTCCAGGCCTACGTCAGCGGAGCCCAAGTCCTCATCAAGACTGCTTTCGACCTGAGGGTGACCTTCGACGGGAGCGGCCTGGTCAGGGTCACCATGCCCAACACCTACACCAATGCCCTCTGCGGTCTGTGTGGCAACGGCAACCAGAGCCCCGGCCAAGATCTGATCATGAGGGATGGGAGCCGGGCTGCCAATGCTGTCCAGTTCGCAGAGAGCTGGAAGGTGAGGGAGGTCCCAGGGTGCTCGGACAGCTGCACCGGGGACTGCCTAGTCTGCAGTGAGGCTCAGAGACAACCCTACAAGGGAGACCAGTACTGCGGGGTCATCACCAGAGGGGACGGGCCATTCAGACAGTGCCATGGGGCCATCGACCCAACCCCCTTCCTCAATGATTGTCTCTCCGACACCTGCCAGTACAAGGGGCATCACTCGGCTCTGTGCGACGCGATCGGTGCCTACACGACAGCCTGCCAGGCTGGGGGCATCCAGATAGGGCCTTGGAGAATGGCCTCATTTTGCAGTGAGTGTTGCCTTTGGGACTCTGCTTTAGGGACGGGCGCATGCGCACCAGCCCTGCTGCTGGGGACGCGGTGGGTGTGTCTCAGAATTTCTCACCCACATGCCACTCACATTTGTGGCTTATTGCTATCTAATGGAGATTGGCCTGAGGCTCATGCAGCCAGGCCAGGGATAGAGCACAGGAATCCTGGCTCCCAGCCCTCCCCACTCTAACCACTAGACCCCACTCCCTTCCCCGAGCTGGGGATAGAACCCAGGAGTCCTGACTCCCAGTTTCACACCCACCCCAGTTCTGTCCACTGTACCTTAATGGGCCTTTTATCTCACCCACATCTGCACGTTCCCTCTGATCTTCTCCTGCAGGCCCCACCTGCCCCCATAACTCCCACTACGAGCTCTGTGGGAGCGGCTGCCCTGCCACCTGCCACGGCCTCTCGGCGCCGGACAGCTGCGATGCCCCCTGTACCGAAGGGTGTTTCTGCGACGCCGGGTTCCTCCTGAGCGGAGACCAGTGTGTCCCCGTCGCGCAGTGCGGCTGTGTGCACCAGGGCAGGTACTACAGGAAGGGAGAGGAGTTTTACGCCAGCGCCTCCTGCCAGGAACGGTGCCGATGCAAAGACAACGGGGTCGTCGAGTGCCAGGAGGCCTCCTGCGGAGCCAATGAGCAGTGCAGGGTGGAGAATGGAATCCTAGGCTGCCACCCCATGGGCTGCGGCAAATGTGTAGTGTCTGGCGATTCCCACTACCTGACCTTCGATGGACGGGCCTTTGACTTCCAGGGCTCCTGCGCTTACACCTTAGCTGAGCTCTGCAGCAGTGTCCCCCGACTGGCGAACTTCTCTTTGGTGGTGGAGAAGGAGAGCTCTGGCGATGGTCGCGTGGCTCGGATGAGGTCGCTGGTAGTCTCTGTCCAAGGCTACACCATCACCGTGGAGAGGGGGAGGAAATGGACAGTCGTGGTAAGGTCCCCGTGTGCTTTGAGCCCCGTTGCTGGCCAACTCCATGTTTGCTGGTTGTTCCTCAGCCTGACCTGGGTGCCCTGACGTCCAGAGGTAGCATAGCTTAGTGGCTGGAGTGGAAGAGAGGGATGGCCCCCGTGGTGAGGGTGCTTGGAGATTTGGGTGCCAGTCCCTGCTCCGTCAGAGGCTTGCTGTGTGACCTTGAGCAAGTCCCTATACATGTAACCTGTGTGTTAGCCCAGACCTTTCTACAGTCCACATGGAAAAACCTCTGAGCTGGGGCTTTAAACCCTGGCTAGCTGACCTAGCTCCTGGTGGGTTAGAATTTCAGCGTGGGCTGGAAGCTGACGCAGGCTCAGTCATTCAAGTGTGGATGGTCCTCCAGTGCCTTCCCACAATCCCTGCCTAAGGACAGGCAAGTTCTCTCGCAGTTGACTGGGAAAGGATCCCAGAGTGTCTCATCACTCAAGCTACATCCCCAGGCAGACAAGGGCGAGCCTGGTGAGGGCAAGGGCCTGGGAATGTGGGGAGGGCTGTGCAGTGGGGAGGGACACACCCAGGCTCGGCTAAGCTCAGAATCGAGTACCAATCACTCGGGTTAGCTGTGCAATGAAGACAGATTCTTTGTCCATCTGTGCCTCGGTTTCCCCAGTTGTACAATGGGGATAATGGCACTGCCTTGCTTCCCAGGCAGATTGTCCCAATAAATATGCTAAAGGGCTGCTCAGATACCAAATTAATGCAGGCCAGATAAGGACCTAGAATAGAGCAAGGGCACCTGGGCTATATTCCCAGCTGCTCTGCTGGTTGAGCGTGGGCCGGTCCCTTCCCCTTTATGTGTCTCATTTTCCCCAACTGTATAACAAACTCCCCTGCGGCACCATGTCAGAAATAATTTGGTGTTTTGCTGAAAAAAGTTGAAATTTTCTTTGGGGCCGGGGTGGGAAAAAGCCCATTTTCAGAGCAGTTCTACTAACTCAGAAATGCTGGTGGTCTTCTACGCCGAGTCTAGATGTAGTCTAGCCCCAAGAGTGGGACAAAAAATGGTGGTAGTATGGGTTACGTCTTCACGAACATTAGGGCAGCCTCTCCCCAAAATCCACCCAACCTCTCCCAACTGCATTTAAATCAAGATCCTGCATTAAGCTAAGACGAGATAAATAAAGAAATCGACAGCAATGAGAGAGGCCTTGGTGATTTGTCTCACCCAGGTGTGTGTCCTGGAGGACTAGCTAGAGGAGAGTCCCAGGAAGCCCCAGTAGATCAGCCTATGGAAGCTACATGACAAAGCTCAGGTCAGTCTTTCCGGAATCTAATGCAGTGATGGGTGAACGTCCCTTTCCTTGGCACAGGTGAACAGGGAGCTCTATGCTCTGCCCCTGGCCCTAGACAACGGGAGAATCCATGTGAACCAAGAGGGGAAGAATGTCGTTGTCCAGACCGATTTTGGCCTCAAAGTCCTTTACGATGCTTCCTACTACGCCTTGGTGTCTGTCCCCAGCTCCTACAAGGGACATGTGTGCGGCTTGTGCAGCAACTTCAATGGCGACAAGAACGACGACTTCCTGCTGCCCAGTGGGAAGAGCGCCCGGAACGCAGATGAGTTTGGGGCCTCCTGGAAGGTGCCCGTTGATGGTGCCACGTGCACCGATGGCTGTGGGGAAAGATGCCTCGTCTGTGATGCAGCAAAGACGGCGCCATACCAGGTCGAGAACTCCTGTGGGCTGATCAGAGCCGCCGCAGGTCCCTTCAGAGACTGTCACTTGCTGGTCAGCCCTGCTGAGTACTTCAACCATTGTCTCTACGACATGTGTGCCACCAATGGGGCGGGAGAGACCCTGTGCCAGAGCCTCCAGTCCTACGTGGCCGCGTGCCAGGCAGCTGGGGCCAAGATCAGAGCCTGGAGAACGGCCTCCTTCTGCCGTAAGTTTATAGAGCAACCTACAGCCCTGGGACCCCTGTCTGCCCCCGCCCCCATCATCCCCACTCCCTGGGACCCCAGATCTCCTGATCCCAACCCTCTCTCCACCCTCCCACTGCCCCATCCCCCCAAAAATCTGCTTATTATCAGCAACTTGGTCTTTAAAAACCCAAACAAACTAAGAAACCTCCAGAAAAATAACTTGACTTGCTCAGGCCAAGGAGTCCCTGGTGGAGCTGGGAATTGAACCCAGAACACTGGTGTCTTAAAAGGTGCATTTCCATGGCAACACAACCAACCAACTGACCCAGCCGAAAAACCAGAGCTCAGGCTGTGAATAGGATTCGGGGGGTGGGTCTCAGAGCCTTGGTGGGAACATCTGCACTGCTATTGACCCATGTTGCTATAGGTATATGGGCAGACGCTAAGTAAGGTGTAGGTGTGGCTGAAGGCAGTAACGGAAAAGCCTACAGGACCCTGTAACAGTAGCATCGCCAAACTAGCTAAGGTTCAAGGCCTAAAGATTTGATACAAGCAACTAACCAAAAGGTGTCTTGTGACCGTCTGTCTCAAGATGTCAAGAGTGCTGTTATAAGCTAAAGTGCTGACAGATAACCACAAGTTGCCTGTTTGTACCAGCTGTAGCAGCATAGGCGACCTCGCTAGGTCAGTGTACACACTACAGCCTTGTCCCACAGGTGTAAGTGCCTTAATACAACTGACATCATAACTCCACCTCCATTAGCGGCGGCGGGCTTTTGTCAGTGTAGTTAGGGCAAGGCAGTGTCTGTGTAGACACTGTGCTCCTTACCACGGCTGTTGGCTGTCTTCAGTTTAAACAGCTCCATGCAGAAAGCTGGGCAGTTAGCTGCCCCTGGCTCCCTGCTCTGAGCCAGGCTGTGCCTGCCCAGCTCCCTGCTCAGGGAGGCGAGAAGCCCGAGTGGCTGTCTCCCTAATCCCAGCAGGGAGCCAAGAAGCCCAGGCGGCTGGCCCCTGCACCCAGTTGGGAGCCGGGAGCTAGAAGGGCAGATGGGCTCCCAGCGGGGAGCTGCAGGGAGCCGTCACCCTTGGCGCTCAGCCCCCCTCACTGGCCCTCTTCAGCCGGTGGAAGTGCTCCTGGTGAGGATGCGCATTACTGACAGAAGGAGGGTAGTGTGGACATCAGCCATGGCAGTAATTACATGGGTCGGCTTAAGTCTGTAGCGTAGACATACCCTTATTCACCTGGCTTTGCTGTACCAGACCCACTCCCCTATGTGTGGGTGGGTGGGTGCATGTGATGGATCTAAAACACATGGGTTCACTGCAATGTTGCTTGGGCATTTACTCTGTTTTATTCCTCTCTCTCACATCTGTTTCTCTCTCCAGCCCTGGCTTGCCCAGCCAACAGCCACTACGAGCTGTGCACTAGATCCTGTGATTTCACCTGTGCTGGCTTGTCCACCCCTGCCCAATGCACCAGGAAGTGCTTTGAAGGCTGCCAGTGCGACGTGGGCTACGCGGCCGATGGGGAGGGGTGTGTGGCCATGGATAGGTGTGGCTGTGTGCGCGACGGACGCTACATCAAGGTGGGTGCTAGGTTATCAGGGTGTGAAGTTTCTCAGGCTGGCTGCTGCCGTTGCTACCTGCTGACCTGCAGGGTTAGCACAGGACTGAAGCGGGAGGAAGAGGGAGAGGAGCTGAGTTGAGGACACAAGGGGTCCAACTGGAAAAACAGAAGAGGGCACAGTACTTCCCTAAGCTCCACCCACAGAATAAGCTTCGCCCACGAGTCACTGCTTGGCTTGTACAGACCTTCAAAGCTGGTTCCTTGCAGCTGCCAGCCGGGGACCAATGGCTGCTAGGGGCAGGAACTGGGAAATGCACACAGAACTCTGAAATTCCTACTATAGAACTAATTGCATCTGGCTATTTCTAGCTCTGAACTAATGAATTGACAGCTTCTTTCAACATCAGAGGGTTGCAATCCACACGACCTGGCTGAATTTTGTCCTTTGCATCTGGAAATCTGTGGAGCAGTGGTGGTCTTGCAACTAGAGCTGGGTGAATTTTTGCCCAAGACCTTTTGCCCCCCACTGGAGAAAAATGCAGATTCAGTGACATCAAATTGTTTTGCGAATTTGTGTTGGTTTAGCTGAATTGTTTCAGCCAAAAACAAACTTACAAAAAATTCAGAAAAAATCCAAGTGTTTCGTTTCACCGTTTTCTAAATGGAACATTTTGATTTTTCAGTTTGGTTTTCTCTTTTAAAATAAAATTAAAGGAAATTTTGAAACCAAGTTGATTTGAACTAAAAATATGGGAAAGTTTTGTTTCAGTGTTGAGCATTCTCATAGACTCATAGACTTTAAGGTCAGAAGGGACCATTATGATCATCTAGTCTGACCTCCCGCATGATGCAGGCCACAAAAGCTGACCCACCCCCTTTCCCTTGACTCAGCTGTTGAAGTCCCCAAATCCTGTGATTTAAAGACTTCAGTCACAGAGACTCCTCCAGCTAGCGACCCCCGCCCCATGCTGCGGAGGAAGGCGAAAAACCTCCAGGGCCTCTGCCAATCTACCCTGGAGGAAAAAAACTAGGAGGCGTGGTAGATACACTAGAGGGTAGGGATCGGATACAGAGGGACCTAGACAAATTAGAGG